GACATTATCTTGATTTATTTCTTGATTAATTAACTATGGGAAACTCCATCGTTCGTTATAGAGGATAAGGATGAAGTAGGAGAAACTCTTCATGAAACAATATTTGATGACTCATGTTAAATGAAAGATTTGCACAAATAAAGATATGATAAAAAATAAAAAAGTCTAGTTGCATTAATTGGAATGTTGGTTGAAAATGAACAAATTAGAATTTTCCGGTTGAATATATTATTATATATAATTGAGATAACCAGAATTTTGATTAATATGATCAAAATCGTCCAGTTCGTCCATTTTCAACAAGAAATTTTTCTCAATAATTGAGGTTTAATAGGAAATGCATCGTATTTTCCTATAAAATCGAAATGTTTTAATTATCTATACTGTTAAATACTTTAAATTTCAAGAATAATTTTCTAGATAATAAATGATGAATACGACTAAGAGTGGAAAGTCAAAGTGACCATAACATTACTAACGTTGATAGCAATCTTGCATCTTTTACATCTCGATTATACAATTCGAGCTGTCAGGAGCAAGCACGTAATTAGCAGCCCATGCTGCCAAGTGTCTTGTGTTAAATTAGCGATTTCATTCAAGCATCTCCGGTCACAACTTGCGGAAGCAGCTGACAACTTCCTGCTTTCCTATGCTGGAAGGAAGGAAGCAATGGTTTCCACGAGTATGACAAGAAAGGACGATCAATTGATGAATTTCTAATTACGATGATAGCGCAAATATTTTTACTGGATATGCCAGAGTATCACCTGTTGCCAGTTCATCAAACTTGTAGATTGCTCGCTGAAGTCGTGTTTTTTTTATATGCAAGATTGTAATAGAAGCGACGTAGAAAGCCATTAAGTAAAGAACATAAAATATACACGTATATATGAGAATCATTAAATTCTTAAATCCATTAAACAAATCTCATCCGTTCTCGATGCCTATCAAAAATAATAGCAATTAAAATCGATACTTCACTCTTTTCACTAAAGACCCTTCCAAATCTTGCTCGATGCAAAGCGAGATAGCTAACGAATTGGCTATGTGAGATTAAAGCGTTCATCGAACGTTCATTAGAAGCTAATTTCCTCGCATCCAGATATCACTAATTAAAAAATATGGTAGAAATAGATTCAATGATCTTGACTTTTAGCAAATCATTAATGAGCTCACTTTTTCTCACTTTCTCTCTCTCTCTCTCTCTCTCTCTCTCTCTCTCTCTCTATCTGTCTTTCCTTGCTGTTTTCTTATGACAAATAGAGATTATTGACAACAAGATGTAAATTTCTATGACACTTTTAATTGTTGAAGGAAATGAAACAACAGCAGGATAGTCGAATGGCTCTAAAAAGGGTGAAAAAGGTCATTTCGTGGAAACGAAATAGCATCTAAACGAATTTGCGTCCATTGCCGCTCTCATGAGGATTTGTTTTAAGATGCATCGCACGGCGCATTTATCTTAGCCATGGACTTTAATTAAAATTTCTTTCCCAAAGGAAAGAAAGCACATAATAATAACGCTTCCCCGTGTGTATTACATTGAGTGTACACATGTATAGATGTGTGAGAGGGAATACTCTTTTTTTCCTCTTCTTCTTTCTTCCGTTGAACAATAGAAAGCATCAGCTTCTGAAAATCGATCGATTCTTCTTACATCGCGCCTCATCGCATAGAACGTCTGTTGCAATCTGTTGCTTTAACTCTAATTAGGTTGAAATGCGCTTAATCAAATTTCCTTTTCTGTCACGGCTAGAAATATAATTTAAAAATAGATAAAAATATCAATTAGTATTAAACCAGTTAATTTAATCAAAGCTAAAATTTAAAGTTAAAATAAAAAGGATAAAAGTGTATTACTTGCAATTTATTTTAATATTTTTTAAGTAAACATTATCACTAAAAAATTCGAATTATATTCGCGCTTCATTCCAATTTTATCTATTTGCGATTAGAAACTCAGAGGCGCAATTAAATGCAACAGTGCTTTAATTTAATCTATGCTTTGCATCATATACTAAAAATATGCGTCGCCGTTCAGTAGAAATGAATTTCTAAAAGAGTTAATTCAACGTGATTTCAACGTAATCTCAATGGCTTCCATCGTTCGTATTGCGAATTAATTGTTATTCTTAATATTTTTCTTTTAAACGGAGTTGAACATTTTTATGCTGCGGGATTATCAGGATTATACGTTTCGTTGTTGTTTAAACGCTTTATCACGAGACTTATGCAAGTGTTATGAAAGGCATCATTTTCAAAATTTAAACATTAAATTAAATTTATAGTTTATGACGCTATCTAGCTTACATGTACATCATAGAATATTTTTCGTTAAGTTAACAAACACAATAAAATAACACGACACATTACATCTAATTTAAGATTGTTTAGCGATTTTTTGAGCGGTTAGCACGCTGTTTATTAAAGGAGAATACTAAACAGATTTATATAGGTAGACATTTCTGTGTAAAACACTTAAATGGAAAACATAATACAATAGTACGTATATGTGATTCTACGAAAAAAAATCTTAAAACCTAGAATATTATATAAAAGAAGAAATCGGAAAATGGAATTTACTCTACACGGATGTTGTGTGGAAACAAATCATTCGGGACACGTCAGGAACTAAACGAACTAACTCGGTACTGCAAGGATCAAAGATGTGAGTGCCTTGATGCATTTCATATAAACGTTATTTTATATACTGTAGAACCAAGTATTTTCAAAGATTTTAAGGGACGACTCTTCACACAAATTCAAATCGAAAACTCTATATGACTGTATGTTCAAAAGGATTAGTTTCAAAGGTATAGGGTGTAAAAGTTGAAGGAAAAATTGCTTTTTACCAAAAATTTTGTAAGCTTTAAACTTATATAAAGTTTCATCAAAATAAATCAAGTAGTTTCATAATTGTAGTTTTCATAATTAAAAATAAAATTTTTCAACTTGAATTTGTGTGAGAAATCATATCTTAAAATTGTTTAGACTCACTTAGTATCCACTCTGTATATTCTGTATATTATATATCGTTTGAGTCTCGCTCTAAAGTCTCTTTTAATTGCGCTTATAATTGTAGAAATTAATTTTACGATGATGTGCTACAACGCTCTTGTGACCATAAACTAATTTATCATCTATTTTATTAGCCCTAGTTTCTTCCGTTGACGTTGCAGCGCGAAACATAGTTCGGTTCGTTTGTTCGAATTTTATTTCCGACATTCACATCTTTACTGCTTGCTATTCCGATATAACGGTCACCATCGATGCAAGTATATAATAAAAATAAAATTGTACATAAAAGTTCTAGGGAACCTGTCCCGTGTTGTCGTCCGCGAATGAACGCGCTGGTTGGGAAAGTAATTGTTTAGCGAATAGATCGTTTTCGGCAGCATTTCTGCAAATATATTCGCATTTTATATCACTTCAATTTTACGACGTTTCTGAATGATCTATTTAGGACAATAATTGCGATAATCCAAATATTATACGTAGTCAATCCGCTTATGCTCCGTTTATTGGAGAAGTTTTTCCGATGGGAAAAACGTTCCACATATCTTATAAGTATCGTTCACTCTCTATATTAAATTCTGTTGAGATCGAACGATTCATTTAAAAAATAATTATAACGTTTAAATTTCTCGCTTTGCGACACACTTTTGTTCTTAAATTCCGAGAGGAAAATATGAAAAAAAATATTTTGAGACGTAATTTAAGATGCGATCCTTTTCTCGTGATTTTTCTCGACTTAGTATTATTTTCCTTCTAAGGATTTAAAATTTGAAATCTCGACGAATTTAAACAAGAAATTCAATTGGACGCGCCGGAAATCTGAACAGAGATCGGATGTTCTTCGTATCACTCTCTGACGAGAAAGCGGATCTGTATCACTAAAATGCGATAAACCAGTGGTAGGATTTGGAAGCTTTTAGCGTTGATCCTTCGCGACATTCTCGACACTCTACACTAGTGTAACTTACATGCCCGGCATACACGTTGAAATCGCTGTGACAGGAAGCTATTTTCTTCGAGTGATACCCGTGTGAAGAACAGCGTCCCGTCCCGTCAGAAATAAAACGGAATTGCGACTTATAATTGCGGAATTTCAACAATTTCGCTAGACAAATAATTTCGCGGAGCAACATAATAGGGATTTGATAATTGATAACAACTTTCTACTCGGCTTTAAGAAATTATCTTATCTCACACAGCAATTACGTGAAATTAAGCGTAATCCTGAATCGAGAAGAAATTAGGAACAAAATACTGGATAATAAACCTTGGGAAGCAAGAGAATGGAAGAGAAGCTATCGACTTTCGAGAAACGTATAATCCTGATTCCCATGGCGGTCTTTTATTTCTCTATCACGTTTCTGAGCAGCCGGTGGCAGTGTTGGTGCGATAGGTCGCCCGAACACGCCAGCTCTTTCGAGAAGCAATCGAGTTGCCCTTTTCGGAGTGCCTGATTCGCGAGTTCGCCCTCGAACGTTCATTACCCGAATGATAGAACCGATCCACTTGCCATTCTAGACTACCTTTGTAATCCGTCGTCTTCGTTTTTCCACCTTACTGTTTAGTTACGTCGTCGAGGTTTTCTAGGAATTACGTAAAAAACAGGCGAAGGTACATTTACAGGGCGCGCCGTTATATCATCCAGTGAGCAATTAATTAAAAGTGTGATTGGAATCTTTGTATGATGTTACTTTGCAATTATTAACAATTCACTTATTCCGAATTGAGTACCTTCTTGATAACAAATGGAGGAGTAATTTAATAGACTGTTCATTCTATCTAACATTTATGGTATTAATGATATTTCATCGTTAGTAATGTATATTGTCAATAAGCATAATGGTTAAATAAATACAGCCATCGTCAGATGATATATCGCAGCGCACCCTTTGCGTTTCACGGATATATACACATACGAATGTATATACAGACATTGTAAAAACACGCTTGCCAGATGCGAGTTACCGTTGGTTGACAATAGGTACCTATTAAAGGGACAGCGTCCGAAGTCGTCGGCATGCTTTCTGCCACGAGGTTCAGGAAAACTGTCAGCGACAGCAGAATGGTCACTCCTGAACAGGCGAAAAATTAAACATCAACACTGCGTCGCAACGCGCGGGCTTAACGTGCTACCTTGGATCTCTAGGGTACCTAGATTTTAGATTTTAAAGTTCATTAGGCCGCTGACGCACATACAATCGCTTTCGATTTTTCCGAGCGACACAAGTCAGCTCAAAGCATATCGTGTCCGTGGATCGATTTACAAGTTTCCCTCGCCGAGAGTGAGTTTTCTTGAGTTCGTTGTAAATTCAGACTCGCACTCGCGTATCGTGATTACGATCTGTCTATTGACAACGCTGATTTGCAAATCCAGCTCGAAACTGGAATCTACAGATTTCGTAAAAACCTGTAAAATCTCCATATTTTCAATCACGGAAAAGTACGTAGTTTGAATGTGATGCTGCTAATGTGACGCAAAAGTTTCACATTTACAACTTTTTCAACAACTATTTATCGCATTTTTTGACGCGATGTTGTTTTTTAGTTATTTAAAGGCTAATATACGAGAAATTTATTTTATATATAAATTCCTAAAGGTCGCTAGAAACGTGACGAGAAAACTAATGATTAGAACCTGCTGCATGAAGTGAATGGTTTGTGGATGAACTCGTTGATAATGTGATATTAATGACGTTGAGGTAGTGCAGGGAACGATCCGATAGAATCCGTGCGATAGTAGCGCGAATTATGCGACTCTGCGCAAACATTTGAGAAGACATGTCTGTGAGCTCGCTCGCATGATTAAGTGTGGACGACCACAAACAATCGAATCCTCTATATCCCGTGTAGATTCTACTTCGCCCTCGGCAGGATTTCGAAGGGTAGGATTAGCTCAACAAAGTTCGGAACGTGTAACGGATGCATCGCGCTGTGAGAGGTCGCAACGTTAGGCGACTTTGGTGAATCTGCCTAAGTCGCCTGGCAACTCCATTACTGCGTAACAGCCTTCAAAGTGACCAGCAAAATTCGATTATCTTACTGCTCCTCTCCAAAATTGAGAACTTCTGCAAGCGGTTGACAACCCTCGTCTGCGTGAAACGGACAGGCTAACCGCAAACTGATTGGATTGAAAGAAATTCGAATTGTCATATGAATTCGTCGAGAATTGAATAATTGCATTAATTGCAATCTCTTGCTCTATAATATCAAGAGATACGGGTCATAAACGTAATAAATACAAGTTAAACATAAAAAATACGAGCTGAACATAAAAAAACATATTCAAGTCGAACTCGTGGTAAAAGTTATTTTAGTCTGCCAGGCAAATCGTTAAAATTATGTCTATATAAACTCTCAAAAGCTCCACTTTTTTATTATACTATTTTTCTTTGTTTTATTATATTATAAAAGGTGCGTTCGGGGAGATGGTATTAGCGCTATTTGCGTCATTTTATCCTTGTTTTACGTGTAATAAACGATGAAGATAGAATGACACAAATAGCGCTAATAGTATCTCCCCGAATGCACCTAAGTTTATGTAACAACAAATTGAAAAAGAAAATAGCCAGAAAGAAGCAATTCTAGTTGTAATGTAAAATTTTTTTTTATTAATTAAAATTTAGTTTATTGACACAAAGAATAATATTTTATGTAAAAATACAGGGTGGGCCATCTATTGGTACGTTTTTGAATTTCGTCGTATGGCAACACCGAACGAGCTACAGACCCGAAATTTTGACAGTTTATTAGTCATACCGTCCGCGGCACGAAACAACATGTTTTCTCTTGAAGAGCATTTTGAAATTTTAAAAACTTATTTTCAAAGTCAGTGCTGTGTCGCCGAAACTGTACGAATTTTGAAAAGAAATATGGGTCGTGATAGAGCACCCACCGAAGGAGCTATACGCAAATTGGTGAGGAAAGTTCGTGAGAAAGGGATGTTAGTGGATGACATTATATTACGACTGTTTTGAGTGAAATTGGCGCCGAGGTAGTCCAAAATGTCATTAATAATTGGGGTGACCGAATGGTATACTGTAAGGCCAGTAGAGGGAGCCACATGAACGAAATCGTTTTTCATTCTTGACGCGGATACTTTTAGCTTCACAACAAAAAAAAAATTAATAAAAAATATCAATGTATGCTCATTTGATCGCATTTTTAAAAACGTACCAATAGATGGCCCACCCTGTATATACAGGGCTTCTTTATGAATGCAGAGTATTCTAGAAATCGTGGTGCAATCAGGAAAAATTCAAGATGAGTCTTGTAAAAGTAAGAAAAATATAGAATACAATCTTTTTTTGTATAGAGTGTCAATATTCGTTAAGTATGCCTGCACTTAATTAACCACAACTTGCTTACTCAATTTGACTCAATTTGACTTCTCGCTATTTCTATGTCAGTCTGGATTTGGTACAGTTTAAAATACATAATAAGTTTCAATAATGTATTTATAATGGCTAATAATATTTTATTAATCGAAAAATTGATGAAAATGTCTATACAAAAAAATTTTATTTTATATTTTGATTATTATATTATTTTTATATGAGAAATCACTTCCTTTCGATTGTATGACAATTTTTAGAACAGCTCATATTCATAAAAGGTTAATTACATTATATATTTTTACTAAATATTTTACGTTTTATAAAAGAGTTAATGTTTAAAAATTTCTTATCACGGTATGATTAGCTTCGAGAAAATTGGCAAAAGGAGATTGAGAGTATTGTCAGATCCTTATTTGTGGAAGTTTGTCGCGCGAACGACTTTCTTAATTACGGTACGCGCGGTATCATAACTGTTGTAAATTAAATCATAAGACAAGGGATTAAAAACCCGATATTATAAACGAATATTAATTGAAAGGTTACTACTCTGTGCAGGAGATGCCATAGGAACAGAAATATAAATGTAAGAAGTAATAATTTGTACTTTTGTGTAATAATAAAATTTTTCAGTAATCACATATTAGTTTAACAAAATATATAATTATTAAATTTAGCGGAAATATAATTAGCGACATATAATTTTTATGATCTTTAAAGATAATTTTTGTTACATAATTCAAATTTTAGGATTATCTCAAAATATAAAAAATGTAGCTGGGAACTATTGAAAAAATAACTTTTCCATTTATAGTTCATACATTAACTGAATCAATTAATTTAATTAATCAATTAATGTGTGTATGCAAAAGAGGAACGTTATTATTTTATTATTATAGAATATTGTTACGTAATACAATTGACGTGTTATAAGTTATTATCTTTGAAACATGCGTCATAACAAAAAAATATTACAAATAAAAGTTGTATGATTTGAAGAGAGATAATAAAGGAAAAATCAATTTGTCATGATTATATTATTTGTTCTTTTACACCGTACAATTTTTGTTCGAAATATTTTTTGTTATAATACATACTTTCAGAAATAACTTTTAACACTTTAATCTCTGAGTCTACACTATTAAATCTTTAGTATCAAATTTAACCTAATTTATGTCACCATTGCTCCTATTCAATATATTGTTATTTTATACTAAAACTATGAATAAATTTAGCATTATATAATGTTAAATTTATCTATCGTTTTAGTATAAAATAATGATATATTGGAATCAGAATAGTGACGACTCAAATTAGATTAAATTTGATTAACACTATAGATTTAACAGCGTGTACAAAATGACAATTTATATTAATTGATATTCAAAGGTACAGTAGACCCGAATATTTTTCAACTATAACGTTGTATAACATTATTTATAACAAATTTTTTACATAATTTTAAGTTACATAATCTTATTTCTCGAATTTTGATCTCCAAAATGAAAAAAAATCGTTGAATTACATTAACTTTAAGTAAAGATATATTATATCTATTAATTTAAAATACACTGTAATCCACGAATATCAATTAGTGTTAAATAAATGTAATCTGGTGCTATTACATTCTCGTTAATGATTACCTGCCATATACTTTGGTAACAGTAGGTACGTGTAAAGTCACGTAATATTTGCTTTAAACGAAATCAACAAACCGCGATGTCGCGAGTTAATTCACCAAGTTCGGAGCATTACGATGGTTCTCGGATGCGCGAGAGGACTTGACAATGAGTCATTAAGCTTGATGTATGTATACGTAGTTAAGTTACATGAAACTCCGCTGTGCAGCATAGTGGACTCTCTCTGTTAGTCGATGAATTGTCACTGCCATTAAATTGTCGCTCGCGAATCAGAAAGTATAAAATATGACCTACCATGATGCTTCGGGAACGAATCCCGCGATTTCGTTAATCGAAGAAATTAATTAGAAACGTGCATATACATCATGATCAATTATCGAAAAGACAATTTACATTAAATTATTAGGTGTTGGAATTAATTCGTAGCGTTTTTTAATGAAAGAATGTTATTTATTTCACATGAGCATTAAAAAATACATTAATGAAAGTACTTCCCATCACTTGTAAAACGCTACGAATTAATTCCAACACCTAATATATATGTTTCGTTAATGTTATCTGATTGATGAAAAAGTTTGAAATAATGAAAAGAATTATTAAAAACTTAACAATTTTTTTGGAAATATTTTAATTATTCAGAAATGTAAAATTTATCGGAAATCTGATGAGGCTTTAATGAGCATTTCAAAAGCATGTAAGTCAAAGAACTCTTTCTTTAACAACATTTAAAGTTGGCTTCGACGATGCTGGTTTTATCTAGTGAGCAGAAAAATTAGAGGTCATGAAAAGAATACTATAGATGAAAGTTTTTAAAACAAATTTAATTACTGTAATTCAATTATTGTATATTTAAATATTTAAAAACACAAAATTTAAAAAATACAAAATACAAAAAATCGAAGTTGTAACCTTATAGTATTTCGAAATTATATATCAAAGAATTTTTTTCTTTAATAATGTCTGAAGTCAGAAGCAATATCTTCGTACCTTTCGCTTGTGCTTTAATTCGATTTAATGGCAGTTTAGGTGAGATAAGGTCGAACGAGAGCATAGTATTTCGATGAGATCGACGGATGTAAACCGCGACAAGGTGCGTCCGCG